CACATTGTACAGAAATCTCAATGTTGCAGAATGTATGTGAGATAAGCATCAAAAGACAATCCCACAGTTTTCCCAGTATGTTTTTTCAATAGCATGCATATTTGGATTCTTTGTCAATACAGTTTGGGCTTGCAATATGATGTGTTAGTAGTSAACCACTCAACTGGTTTTAAATATATCCATGCAGTCTGTGACTAATGCCTACTCTTCTCCTTTTGTTCTTCTTTACAAAAGCACTTCTTCCTCAAGAAGCAATCTATTCATTTTTTTCTACAATAAAATTAGCTGTTATCATGGGAAAACCTGAAATTTCTTTTATCTAGTTCACACAACAAACAAACAAACAAAAACAGCCAAGCGGCAAATAACATTTTTTTTCCCCTTGGCTAGGATATATGTATTTTTTATTGTAGCATGATAAATTTCTAGTTGAGAATAAAGGCAATTTATTTTTTAATTCCTCATATATTCTGCTACTAATAAATTGCATTAAACTGTTACTTCCCAGAATTGAGTTTGCATTTATGATTACCAGGTTAAACTTTGATTCTATTCTTTTTTTTTTTTTTCTCTCCATGTTTTTCCATGAATAGATAATGCAATTGATGCTCTGCCTCAGGCTTCAAATGCCCAACTGCCTTAATGGAATGCCAGGCATATTTATATTCACATTATTGGCTCTCTTCACCTTGTGGACCTGTAAAATATGTATCAAGGCTAGAACTAACAGAAATACAGCAGCTGGCTATAAGTTAGATGTGCCAGAAAATTGCAGTATTATCCATTCCAATGAAAGCAGCTATGAAATGCAATCATGTTAACTAAATATGAACTAAGTAACAAGATTAGGGTTTAATTAGAAAATTAAAGCAARTAGAAACCTTTTTATTATTCTGTTGATTTCCTTACACCATCCCAAATACTGCTTCCATGGGTATTTTCAGATAATGGGCTAATATAAAATGTTGTTACTATCTTGGGGAAGAAGTGATAAAACAAGTGAGGTGTAGGGAAAGAAAAAAGCATTAGTCTCAAGTCAAATTAGCTTATGCCATTAAATTACAGATGGCAATTTCCATTTAAATATAAAGTAATGGAAACAGATTCATACACTTGCCCCTGTGGGTTGTCTTTATGGTCACCCTTCAGCTCTGTGGATCCCGGCTATTGACTGAGCAGGAGGCAGAGTCACATTCTCCATTGGGAGATGGATATTCCTGTAGACTTTGCCCATGTAGGGCATTTACTTGTGGGGAACATCTAACATTGCTGCAGAAGGCCAGGTTATTCTTCTAATAAATAACGTCCTTTCACATACACTTCCTGGAAGGACTAAGATCCGTGGTATTAAAATTGGAGCCCATCTTAGCAACTATTTCCCACTGTAGCACTCAGATAAAAAAAAAGGCAGGAGAGAGATTTTGAAAGAGAATAGATAACTGGGTAGTAAACTAGGAGAGGTATTAATGTGCTAATTTGGAAAAGCATACAGGAAAACTAATGAAAACTATTACTATTTTTTACTATATCTAAAAACTATTCTGAGGGTGAAAGTTCACAAGATCACTAAATAAATAAATCTAAGAGATAGAGCTGAAAAGACAAGATTTAAATGGCAAATAATACTTTGCCCTTCAGGAACATTTGGAGATCAGGAAAAAGTTATAGCCTGAGTGTAACAGATCTTAAAGTTCCAACATTTTGAGAACACTGTAACATCCTATTTTCTGGTTTTGTAAGCAGCATGCTGTTTTTCTGAAGATGAGTTTTGTTTATTTATTTGGGTTACATTTTTGAAGCACAGTCTATTGGGTTATTGCTCTTACTAAAACCATTTGCATCCTCAAAGTGATTCTAGAAAATTTGGAAGTTAAATCTTACTGTAATACCTATATTCTCACTCCTGTAAAAAATGTCCGAGAGCATCTACCAGTCTCCCTGTTTTAGTAAAAATTTTTAGTAAAATTTAGTAAAATTTTTAGTAAAATTTAGTAAATTTTAGTAAAATTTAGTAAAAAAGTGGAAACCTTGTGTGGTGTTTGCTCTTGTGGAAATTCCAAGGCTGTCTTGGAAAAAAAAGAGTCATCTGAAATTGAGGTGATAATATCTAACTTTTATTTTACCATATTGTGCTAAATGGGCACATCAAATAAATTTCATTTTCCACTTCTCTGAGCGTTGTTAAGTTGTTTTAAGTGGCATCTGTTTGAAACTAAGTGTCATGCTACGAAATGCTCCTTGCTAACACAGCAAATCTGTTGCTGTAACTCTCATTAAAAAAAAGAACAAAAAACTTTGAATAGTCTTTTCCCACTTTTATTTATATATTTTTATGTTTTCACTAAAGAAGACCTGCATTGCAATTGGCTACAATATTTTTTTTCATCAGGASTCCCATATTGTCATGCAGTTGGTTACAGATGGGTACAACTTGAGTTAAAAATTCTGTTCCTCCAGAGGGCAGCAATAGTAGATTATTATCCACAAGGAAATATCAATTACTGGTGGAAAAATACACCTCACTCTCACGCTTTGTCTGTCCCCATTTTTTTTGAGAGAGAGCTCATTAGTATGATTTATTAACTATTTTCAGAGGTAAAATTGCAATGATTGTCTRGAGGAATAATAAAAATGTATGAAGATGACTTTTACTAGAGTTATGGGAATAAGTCAATACAACTTTTGCTTGGTAAACACTGGGGAAAAAAAGAAGATGGAAAAAAAYTGCAACTAGGTCTGACATTTTCTAACCTTAGTTGGTAAGAAAAACATTCTATCTACAGCTAAAACACATTTGGTCCATTAAAATCCTGCACTGTCCTTTCAAAAACAGGGCACATATTCACAAAACTGAAAGAACATAAGCCTAGGGATGCAATCTATTACACAAGATAAACTTTTCCCAGAATGTTTGTGTCCCCTCTGATCTGTGTCGCCTGAATAAGCAGASACATAGTCAGAACATTTGAGTTCAGCAGTATTTTCAGAGCCAGTGTATATATGGCACAAAAGCATGGAAAGTGTAATGGTTGTGGAATATGTTTTCTTGAAAATTATTTGACATGAAAGTAGCTCATGCATTTTTTATTTCATTTTTCTTTTCTTCTCTTTAAAATGTAATGGAGCAAAGTATGTAGCATCTGAGGCTTCTGCTATAAAGTCATTGAGTTTCACAGTGTGAGGAGCTTGTAGAAGATGGAGTTGGAAATAACGCATCCTTCAGCATGCATGAATGAGAATCAAATAGCTGTGAATGCAGTTCTGAGATTGCACAGTGAAATGTAATATAAGTCAACAACTATGCAGTTATTTAAAACAACAAAAAAAATGTTTTATTACAATTGAAGTTAGGTCTGTTAGGCTGCATACTGGAATACTCCATCTGAATTTGGGCTCTCCTGCAAAGGAAAGACATTGAGAAACTGGAGGAAGTTCAGGGCAGGGCCACTGGGTGGTCTGGACTGGAGAAATTGCCCTGAGAGATTGGGGGAACTGGGCTTGTTTGACCTGGAGAAAAACCCATAGGTCAGTTGTTGAAGAGATGGAACAAAAGTCTCCATGATGGTGTGAAGCGGGAGAACAGGAAACAAGCAGAAACGTTACGGGGAGGAATAGACTAGATATAAGGAAAAAACACATTCAMACAAGGACAATAATTTATTCCTGGAACAGGTTGCCCATGGAGATCATGCACTCTGTATCTCTGCAGATTTTCAAAACTACACTGGATAGAGCCCTGAGCAACCTGGTCTGAATTCAGTGTTGACTTAGATTTGAGCAAAAAGTTGGACTAGAGGCCTCCCAGCCTCAATTATTCAGTTGATTCTGTGTTTCTATGATGATATTTAAAAAGATCAGTCAAAATATTCTGTTGAGAATGTTTATGGGTGGTATGTATTCAGACATACGAAGTGCAGAACTGATGTGCAAGATTAGCATATTTTAGAAGTTAAGAATTTTTAATTCAGAATGGGAGAGGCAGCTATGTTTTGACATTACCACTTGTAATTCTTATAATCTCCCTTAATGAGAAGAGAGAAAACAGAATGCARCATAACTAATGTACTTACATTTATACTACCAGTTATACTTCCAGTCAAAGTGGAATCTTAGAACACAATCATTCTATATGATTACTAGACTACTTAAAATCTGTTCAGTTGAAGAAAAATAAAAAACAAGATTAAACTTTGCTAGGCTTCCTAAAAAACAAAGAGGAATAGTTAGTAATGGAGAAAAATCTGAAAGTGTTCTGGAAAAGAGGCTTTGCTCAAAACCTTTCTCTGCCTCTTGCTGTCACCCAGACAAGCATGACTCCTTTTAGCTGCCCAGGAACCTTTCTCAAGTTCCCATCCCTTCAAATACTTTATGTCCTTTAGCTCTCTTGATTTCATGCAAGTTTCTGTCAACAACTCCAGGCTTTTTCTGAGGCCATTGATATTTTCAGGATATTCAAATATGGTATTTATTTATTTTTCTCTGAGTTCCCGCAGTGCCGCGACAAAAAAAACTTTCAAAGATTTCCTCAGATACACGAAAAATTCATTGTGGTATATGTGTGATAATGAAATACTTAGAGTAGATATATTTTAAATGAAGTAGCTTCCATGGTTTCCCTGGATTGCTGACTAATATTTCCAAGGACCTTCAAGAACAGAAGTTTTGAAGGACAGGGAGGGGAGGCTGCTTGGATAGAGAAGCAGTATGAAATAATAGTGGAGAGGAAGCCTGGTAGAGGGTAGACAGCAAACGCTTATGTGTAAGAAAGGGAGTAAGACAGCACAGATGTAGTTAGACACTAAGGGTTGCTGATTTTTTTTTCTGTAAATTGAACAGCTTTTCTATGATTAAAACAAGCTACCTTGCTTTGCCTTGCCTTCATCCTTGAGCAGCAATGACTGAGCACATAGATGTTTGCCAGGGAGAAGACAATGTTATCGTTATTATACTGAAATAGTTTTCACAGCCCTGGCAGAATAACTCATTTATCATTTTCTTACCTGCTTCATTGGTTCTGATCACTCGGGACGGCGCGCTTGGATCACCAGTGCCAATTTTGTTAGTTGCGACAACTCTAAACTCGTACTCCACCCATGGGTTGAGTTCAACAGCCATTGCAGATTCCATATCACCACTTATGACATCTGGAACTGCAGCAGTGAGACATATGTGCAGTCATTCAGGAATCTGAAGCTCCCATACATTTTCTCAATGGCAAGTGGTAAAGGCCATTAGAAATGACATAGGTCAAGAAACCGGCACATTTGAAATCACTACTAGGTTTTTGGCAATCTGCTACTCCTGAAAAGACATTGATTGAAGGATATTGGGAAGTTTGCCTACCCACAGATGCATTATGGTAGATGTCTTTGAACTGCTCTTATAGAGCTATTACTAAGTGATATGAGAAAGGAAAGAAAGAAAATAAGTGGTTTTAATTTATCATTCTTATCTTGATAACATCTATTTTTGCAGTTGCCAGTGATAATTATTGCCATGAATCGGGAATTCTGAAGTCAGTCTACTCATGCCATCTGTAAGTTTTTCTCACCTGTTTTTACAGTCTGCCAGCCAAGTGAAAATGGACTGCGTGCTTGCAGGTTGTAGAGGGATATAGGGCTATGATTGTCTGCACCAGGACTCCAGGAGAGTGTTGCTGTGGTGTCTGTGATTTCTTCCACTATCACAACTCCTGGGGGACCCGGAGGACCTGGAAATAAAGTAGAATAGTCAAAGCAAAAGCATCATCATCAGGATTTATCAGCAGGAATAAAAGACACATATATTCTGTAGGAAACCAAAAGAGTTCAGCATTCACAAAACACAAGGTTTAAAGTGCACAGTAGTAAATCATTAAGATAGCTCATTTCCTTAATTTATGGTTGTAAATTGTGATTGTCTCTATTGTTTAATGTAGTGTAAGTGAGAAGCAATTATCTTGTCAAAGTGATGTTGGAAAAAGTAAAAATAGAAATATTTAAAAATTCTCAGTTACTCTTGATGTTCTGAACCTAAAAGAATAAAATGTTCAAATTTAGGATGCATCGAAGGCTATATTGACCAACCACTGACCAAGCAGGAGACTGACATCTTCTGTCTATGTGRAACTTGTTGGCAGGAGAGAAGAATAAGGACCAAGCTGAAGCAAGGGAACATGTATTTCTTGAAGAATGATAATACTGATAATATCCAAAGTCAATAAAAATAATAAAAAACAACCGAGAAAGCAGTGTATCTCCTTCTCTCAAATTAGCTCCTGCAGGTATACAGGATTGCCTTAGGCTGAATTACCTTGGATTACCTGTTAGACTGAAAGTTATTAAAAAATGTTTTGAAAGATGATATTTATTGTGACTCCATTACAAACAAACATACTTGACAAATTTTCGCATGAAAATAGAGGTATTATTAATCTACTTAGCTATACTAAGCGAATATATAGAAACTAGGATTTGTATAAACCATATGACTGATTCAGTAAGTCAAGTGTATGCAAACAAGCATGGCTTTGTAATGCAAAATATAATTCTCTTCTTTTTCTTCTTTAATTCTTACAATATTGTGTGAGATCATTTTCATAATACAATTGACAGATAGGATGGGAGCTAAAGTTTCCCTCGTTGGTGGTCCCAGCACTCTTCAACTGGTGTTGGGACCAGATGTTCATGGGAAGATGTACATCTCTATCACTACTGAGAAGAGATCAGAAGACCACCACTGAGTTTGGCCCCTTCCTCGTTACATTCACCCTTCAGGTATTTATACATATTGATCAGATCTCCTCTCAGTCTTCTCTTCCCCAGGCAAAAAAGGCTGAGCTCACTTAGTGTATCCTTGTATGACAGATGCTCTAGTCCTTTAATTCTCTTTGTTGCTCTCTGTTGGACCCTCTCTAGAAGCTCCACATCCCTCATACTGGGGAGCCCAGAACTGCACCCAATACTCCAGGTGCGGCCTCACCAGAGCTGAGGGGATGGGCGGGATCCCCTCCCTTGACCTGCTGGCAACACTCCTCCTGATGCAGGCCAGGATCCCATTGGCCTTCTCGGCCATGAGGGCAGTCCCTTCCCTTGTCTTCTCTTCCCTTGCTCCACATGCTTAGCAGAAGGACCCTGCTTCTTATGAACGTCTTTCATCTCTAATTATAAATGATGCTGAGATAAGATGGTGCCATGGCATGGGACATCCTGTGGTTCTTGGTCTTCTGGAATTTCACGTCCATTTTCGGCCAGGTGGTCTTGCATTTCATCCTGAGAGAAAACATGGCAAAAGGGTGATCCCAAGGAACCCTTGTGCCCTTCTCTCCTCTTTTCCTATTGCCTATTTGCTGCTCTTTGATGGGTTTAATCAGGCCCTTGTTTTAGAACAGCAAGTCCAGGGGCTAATTTAATAAAACAGGACAATCTTTGATCCCTATTATCTATTGTTTCAGGCTATCTGCAGATGTAGGAAAATTCTAGTGAATTTTTTATTTGTAGCCAAGAGGGAAAGTTTAAAAGGAAAGCTGGAATCCTGTTATAATCATATGTTTTCACTGACTTGCAGCCATAGGCTCAGTATTATATCATGGTCYCAAGCGTAAACAAGATTAAAGGAAAATATTTTAGCACTTCTCCTCTTTGACAATATTCCTCCCATGCACACAGAATATTGTTAAAGAGTTTTAAGCCAGTCTACTAGGGAACAAGAACAAGCTTCTGCTTATACAAAAATATTTGAAAATATAGTTTTGCAGATGTGTTCTCTTAAATTCTCAATATATTTTGTTGTCAGAGTTCTCTTATGTTTTTTAAACCTTTTAAATGCATTCCTAGTCACGACAATGTGCCATTATGTTTTCTGATATGTATGCTCTTACACAGTCTGCAGGAGGACTGCTAAAAAGCGTTTCCATTTCCAGCAGCAGGCAGTCTTGAAAATGGATTAATAAAGGACAAAAGCCTCAGTGATGACAAATGTATAACAGTTAGCCAGGACCTTAGTGTTATGCAGATGTCACTCATTTTTGTAGAAATCTCATTAAATTTTATGCTTGGTTGTAATCATTCATAGTGTCAGCCGGATGGCTAATGCAGAGAACCTTTTCTCCCAAGGGCTGTGTTATTGTTCAGGATGTCTAAAACAATCTTTTATTTGAGAATAGCCAATTGAAGAAAAAATGCACAGTCTGCTCAAATGCTGCTCTGGAAACTACACAGAAAATGACTGGTCATAAACGCACTACAGTGCAGTCGACCTTCATGGAGAAGACATTTGAGGCTTCAATAGGCTCTTAGGCAGCTCTAGGAACACTGGAAACCCAGCACAGAGAATATCAGTCAGCTATCTTCTTTCAGAGCAATTCCACAGATTGATACTTCATTTCAGGACATGTGTGACTGCATTTTGGCAAACTTGTTTTATGTGTCTTTTTATTGTTGTAATGATCATCTTGAGAGGTCCTTTAGATTACTTGCCATGATACAATGTTAATGCGAGAGCTCTTGAAAGACTATTTCCCGTAATAGCCTTAGTCATTCAGCGAGGCAGTGGCCTTTCCTGTGAATCCCAAAATGTGCATTGATTTACTCCACTACAGTCTGACCAGGATAATTCGTACTTTTACCAAACCACTAAAAGCACAATATGTAGCACTTGCAAACAGAGAATTCTGGGCCTGAAGATTTTGCTTTCTGAGTGTGTAGGCACATTGGCTTAGTGAAAGCAAAGCATGGGAAGGAGTGAGACAGACTTTCTAAGAACTGCAATGCACTTTTGGAAAGGATCAGAAAGAAGACAATGTTAGGTAGAAGCAAGAAGGGACAAAAGACAATTTACCACAGCAATATGAGCAAAAGGTACCAGTCTGAAAGAAGATGAAAGGTAAGGARAAGGAGGAAAATACAAAGAGACATGAACTATAGAATAATGGTAATGGGGATAGAGAAGACCCAAGCATGGCTCTTGCAGTGGTAAGTCCTTTTATTCTCCACAGCTGTGGCAGATGAAAAAGTGTTTGCATGTGGTGGGGAACAAGGTGTATGGTGAGAAAGTGAGCTGCACAGCAAGTGCAATGCACTGTGGCTTTGGTTGATACATCCTCTGTCCCAGTCCTTGGTGTACCCAGTTGGTAAGATAGGTGTGTAAGTGCATGCCTCGTAGGGTGGAGAGATTTCAGCCCAACTAGCAGCAGGACAGAGAGAAGATTAAACTCTTATTTGGAGGGTAAAGAGCAGAGGACATTGATGACCAAGGCTGGATAGCCTTGAAATAACTCATTTCAGGATGAGGGTCAGCAAAAATCCCTGGTGAATAGACCTTTAGTCATACATGTCATTCTTTTCTCCGATGATTTCTCTGCCTTGTTCAAATCCAAAAGTATAGCAGATATGGGAGAGATGGTTGAGGCTTATGAGCCCAGAGGCCAGAGCACAGCTCAGACACTCAGCTGGATCATTGCATTGTGACAGTTGTGACTTAACATAGATGTATAAGCATTGGACGGTATGTGAACTGCTATCCCTCTTTAGGAGAAAAAGCATCAATAGCTGTGAATCCTACTGGGAATGACATGACTAGCTGTCACTCTGTGAAAGGTGTCCCAACTTAGGTAAAAAATGGAGTATTTAGCATGCCCTTTTCATAGGAAAAACAGACCACTGTTGACTGTGGTTAGTCTGTTTAGCAGTGCTTTGCTTGCTGGCTGCCTCAAATGTGACCTGTGCTGCCTCTGACATCCTGTAATGTCAGCCCAGGCAGCTCTGCTCTCAGAACAGGATGGGGCTCTTTCAGGCACTGAGTTTGTGAACATCAGCACATCTGCACTTTTGTCCTGTTCTAAGCCCCTTCTGACTGAAGATTTAAGTAACTTCACTTTTGCAAAGCAGTAGCTTAGAGAGAAAAAAAGAATCTTTTTAAAACTCATATGAACAAAGGATCTTTTTAAAACTCATATGAATCTCCTTTCCTTTCACAGTATCTGAGATATTACAAAGGTCTTGTTACAAGTTTGGACTCCTAGAAGTATTTTATGCAGTCTCTGGGTTAGTGCACTTATGTTTCAGCTCCAATATTATATTCAGCTACTAAAAAGGGAGCACAGAACTGACCCCTGACATTGATCATCTGGGTCATTACATCATTAATCAGTCCCTGTCTGAGCTTTAGTCCTGTGCCAATTCTCTCCCAGTGCCAGGGTACAATTAATGTAGTACATTAATGCATAATGGATCACATAATGGACAACATGGGCTGGGACAATCCCAGTAGCATTGGCCCCTTCTACTTTGAGACAGCAGGGGGACAGGGAATGCCCTCCAACAGGAATTCTGCTGTGCCAAGTAACCCCGAGGAATGGTGCACTATTCTGGATGTTATCCTGTGAGTCCAATTAATGGGGTCTGTACTTGTGATGCCTTCAAGGCTTTGGCTACAGCTCAAACGTAATTTCAAGGACCAACAGGAATACACTGACCTTGTTTACGTTCCATTTAATAATGTTGTGGCTGATGGCCTTTAAACCCAAGTGCTTGTCTTTAAGTTTTATTGGCAATATCACAACTGAAAGGAGCAGTGTGGTCAACTTAACCAGCAATTTTAGTGTTATATTTGCTCCAGGTCAGTGGAGTTCAGAGGAAACATTACTTCTCCAAAAATATATCAGGAGAGCAGATTTCTTGCTTAGATTGGTAGTTTTGCCAGTCTACAAGATGAATAGCTTTAACCTCTTTT